GTAACTTCAACTCGCCAAGGGCACCAGAATGGCTAGAGCCAGCACTGCATTCAAGACTTTCTTCCCTCCCGTTTAGATAAAGTACATTTTACATTCCCCACAGGCATAAATGAAACAAAAAAACCAGGAAGAAAAAAAAAACATTTTGAGTGGCAACACCATTTGTTTGGCAGTGAGCAGAAAGGAGTGTGCTGCCAGCCCTGCAACTCTGCACACTTCTCATGGCAGGATCCTGGAGGAAAGTCGGCCTAAATCCCGAGCATTCATCGTCCGGTTTGATCTCCCTCCTCCTCCGTGTAACGTTCCGCCTTTCACCAGCTCTYACTGAAAAAAAAAAAAAAAAACAGACCCACCTCACAGCCAAATGAGAATTATGTGGTGTCATCAGCAACACAAATCCCTGCAAGGTCAAAGGGAGACAATGTCAGAGCGTGGAAATGGTGCGAGCTGAGGGATGTGTAGAATATATTTCACTTGCTCTGAAACAAAAAGCTGCAACAATGAAGAAGCAGGAGCTCTGCAGAAAACAATTACATTAAGATCATTAGGTTGAAAAGAAAAGTTGCACCTGGGCTCCAGCTTATTGGATTGTTTTGTGATTTTAATTCYTCTCTGCCATGGAGAAAAAAATTACACACAAAAAGAAGAAAACAACAACAAATATCCAGGAAATAAATGCTGAAAGATAATAAAGTAATAATATGGAAATTGTTTGTTTTCAATTAATTAACTGTGAATGCTATCATGAGCCACATTATTTTCAAGTTTTTAGCTGTTGAATGCTTATTTATTTATTTATTTATTTATTTATTTATTTATTTATTTATTTATTTATTTATTTATTGCAGTAACTAATTCCGCTTTGTGCCGATTTAGTCATTCATAAATCAAAACATTCGGCTCATTCAGGAAAATGGCTGCTTTACTTTTATCGTTTCATAACGTTGAACTGAAATTGTAAAACTTTTCTGCAAATGCAAGTTGCTGATAAGAGCTTTTAGACGGACTTATGCTACTTTTCGTTTTTCCTGATATTTTGAAACGTTTAGCTACTGTTCTGCTAATTTTAGCTGTTACCACTCTACTGCTTTTATTCTTTTACTACTTTTAGCTTTTTGATACTGTTATGTAGCCGTTTATAGCTTTTTAAGTGGCAATTTGCTACTTTAGATACTTTTTTGCTTCTTTAAGCAACATTTAGCTTTTAGCTAACATTTTGCTACATTTATATTTTGAGTAGCATTTTGCTACTTTTTTTTTTTTTTTGCTTCGGTTGGTATTTTTCTAGRTTTAGTTTGTGTTTTTCTACTTTTAGCTCATTTTAACTCTGTTTGCATTCTGCTGCTTCAAGCTTCTAGCCAGCAGTTTTCTACGTTTAGCTTTTAGTTAGCATTCTTCCTTTTATAGTTTTAACAARTCAGTTTTAGTTTTTTCAACAAATTTAACACTCAGAAAATGCTTTTTCTCTATATGTATTTATTTATTTATTTATTTGTTTGTTTGTTTTTTGCATTTTATGAGGTTAAGAAGCCGTCTTATTTAGTCAAAAAGTAATTATGTAGGAGCAACTTTGCTTCCTTGTTAAGGATGAAGCAGAAAACTATGGTGGCCCTGCAGTTGTAAACATGAAAACAAAACTTACCAAAAAAGTAAAAAAAAATTCTCAAAGCAAAAATACACATRAAGAAACACAAAACGTTTCAAAACCTCAACAGATTCCATAAAACTGAACAAAGCCAAAAACTTGACAATAAGGAAAATACAGTAAACCTCATGTTTTATGTTCGGCTTGCATGGTTTCTTTTTATGTCATTGGATTTGTCCGTAAATGCAATCAAATGTGTAGTTAACCAATCGGTATTTCTAAGTTAAAAGTTAGATAAAAGTATTTCTACTTATAGCAAAAACAAGTTTGGTTACACAATGACACAATAACTAGACTAGAAAACATGGAAAAGTAAATTCATTTTTAAACAACCATCACCATTAAAGAGTTTTGCAGCTTGAGCAAAAAAGTCCCTCTATAAAATTTCGCATGGCGCCTCTGACATCCTCAACCAGTTACTCAACACATTAAATCACCAAAGAGGGGGCGGGCTTTAAACTGCAGCATGGTCTGAACTGGTTCCCTTGTTATTTTTGATGAAACATAAAAAGCTTTGAAAGTGCTTGATGATCTTTCTGCTACATTTCTTTTCGTTTTTAACCGAGCTGTATATGATGTTTTGGTGAACATACGTGAATCTGAATCCAAGGTCGCCCAGCACAGCGACCCCACACACCAAAGCACAACCAGCATCCCCCCTCCCCCACYTCCATGCATGACAAACTGGGACCTTTAAGGCCACTGGCATCATGCCACACGGTTTGTACATAAACGTTCTGCCATGTGACGAAGATGTGAGCGCTGATACATTAGGACCTAATGGCTTAAATAACTTTATAAACCCACTGGGGTTTGCGCTCGTGCTTGCAGCCAAAAATGTCATGTTCCCAACATGTGATCCAGGGGAGGAGTGTGGAGGCACGCTGCGTTTGGAGCCGACTCCGATTACTGTTGTGGGATCCGGCCTGCTGGCAAACAAAGAGACGCACTCTGGCAGCGAACGGCTCTACGGCCGTTTGCACCGTTTTTATGGACTCCTAACAGGCATGAATGCTGGTGGAAGTGGTAGATCTTTAATGTTTGCTGTTCCTTTTAAAGCAACGTATTGGTCGAGGCTGAAAAGTGTCAAATAAACTTAAAAGTTTGATTTTGAAATAAACACATCTGGCTCATGTAACCGTGACCTTGAAAAACAACTATTCCTCACAACTGTAAAATTGTAACAGAGTACTTTATTTGTTGGTCGGCTATATGTACAAATATTCAAAAGAAATGTCAGTTTTCCTCAAGAGGTTTTTGGCTTTTAAAAACAAAATAAATACATTTTAATATAATGTTAATATAAAATATGTACAGATTTTTGTTGCTCTTCTAGTCCTTCCATTAAGAACTTTTCAAAAAGAAAAAAATGTTACAAAGCCCAAATGGTTGAATGTAGGAAAAAAGAAAAAAAATCTAAGAAAAAAAAAGAAATTCATAAGTATTTAAATTTTAGCTTTCTGAGACATCTGGGAGCTTGATTTTCTCGTCATTTGTGATGCTGTCCACAATGGAGGACAGATGCAAGAGGCTGGAGGACGCAGAGGACTCACTGGTTCCTGAAAGTAAAAAGTTAGACACATAAGTCAAACCCTTTGGATCCATTTTCCACTTTAATGTAACCATTTACTTTTAGTTCATCCAAACAATGGTTAAAATTAAAACACCCCTTGTTTTCAGCAATACGGGAGTCTACAACTATAACTGTACAAAATCAGGATGATGGCCTTCATTGACTAGAAATTAGCTTAGTGAAAATGTACAAAAAAATGTATCAAAATGTATAAAAATGTATCAAAATGTATAAAAATGTATCAAAATGTACAGAAAATGTATCAAAATGTACAAAAAATGTATCAAAATGTACAAAAAATGTATAATAATTGTAATAAAATGAAATACAACACCAGTTAACCTGATGATAGCATGAGAATTAATGCTCAAAAAGTCAATTTGTACAATACTATGGCCCTGAAAAGCATTGCTGACTTACAAAATACAACCCAAATGTTATCAATTGAAAAGGTACTCCATGCAAAAGGCCCAAAAGGCAAACATGTTGAAGTTTAGACTACATTGCATGACTCAAGCTTCTCAATCCTGTTGCTATCTGTACACAAACACAGCAACTTTTGATCAAACAAAGATCACAGCTTAGTGAGGTGTTTCCAGAGACTCAAACAGTTCTGAATAAACTCAGCTAAGACACTCTTGTCTCATTGCGCTTGTAAATGGGGGACTGCGCTCGGCTTTGTGAAGCCCAGAATGGATTAGAACCATCACGGTGCCAGTCGTGGTTATATTTTATTCATTAATCATTGATCGCATGAGGATTGCAAACAGGTGTACCTTCTCTCTGGTTCATTGCTGCATTGGAATGATCGGCAGAGGTTCGCCAGGTCTCAGAGGATCTCTTCCACTGATACTCATCATTGGCCACCTGTTGGAAGGAGTTGAAAACATGTCATTATGCTCATTTTCAGGGAATTGCACACAAATCCAGTTCTTGTGTCATCACGAAGAATACACATGAACAAAATGCAATAGCTGTAAAAAAAAACCCAGTCGTTGTTAATATTAACAGTTAAAGACCAAGCAAGGGTTTTGATGTCATTTGAAAGTCATTTGGATCAAGTGAAAACTAGAATGAGCTTCTTCAGAAGCCTGTCAGTGTAAGCTTACATTGTGCTCTTTAGTGTTAAAGGAAGATCCGTTTTGAATTTTCTCCTGTTCATCCAGAGTCTGCAGCAAATCCTGTAGTCTCTCAATGTAGCTAATGGCACTGCGTAAGATCTCCACCTTGGGTAGCCTCTGGTTGGGATTGGCCACGGTCTTCCTCTTCAGCGCATCGAAGGCCTCGTTGATTTTCTTGAGCCGCCTCCTCTCCCGGAGCGTCGCGGCCTTGCGTCTATCCGTGGGCGCCGACTTCCTCTTACAGATCTTACAGGCCCACATGAGGCACTGGCCCTCGCAGTGGGACTGGAGCCCCGGAGGCGCGAGCACATGCTCCTCTCCGCTGCTTTCCCCGCCTGTCTCGGACGGAACGTTCTCCTGGCCTGGGGACAACGGGCTGTCGGTGCCATTGTAAAGAGGAGACACCCCCGCCATGTCCATATGCTGTAGTGGTCCATGATCTCCTTCCTCTAAGTAGCGTAAATCACCAAAAAGATAAGTGTTGGTCTCAAAAAGGTCCATCATATTGTTGCGTCCTACTCTCTGTTTTGACAGTGGAACTCTGGCATTTAAATAGAGCAGCGGGGACACAGTCAACAGGCTTATATATAGAATGTGAAACTCTATCCAACACTGGCTGTCACACTGCAGCAAGCATCTTCGTTTTGAATGGGTCTTAGCTGCATTCTGACTTTGTGTAGGGAGAAAATACACATTGAGGCATTCGGCAGCTATTAAACAGTCACTCATGTTTCATGACAGGTGCCATGACTTGAATGCATCTGGACAAAATGGTTGCATTGTGATATTTCTCAACATCAAAAAGGCACAAAACAATGCTTGTTTCAGGTGTATTTTAAATTATTTTGAAGGTACAACCTAAGTGCTGACAGCAAATTATTTTTGAGTTGTAGGATACCTTGTTCTAACACTGTCTGCACCACAAAATTACCTTGTACTTGTACCATTTTTTACATAATAGGTATTGCAGTTTTATGTTTTTCTCATCTGTCTCATTAGAGTTGTATATCAGAGGTATTCCTGTGTGTTCTTCACATGGGTACCATGTAGATAGAAATTTGTTCATGATGTTGGTTGCTGCTACTTACATTTACTCATTTCTTAACTTTTTGATCCAAGTCAAATATGCCAACATAAGTGACAAAGTACAAAAAAATAATCGTAGTTAAAGACTCCCACGAAGAGAGTCTACCCATGTAACAGACATGTGGGAAGGATCTGGTGTCAAACTGGCACTGCTGGCAAGTGGGTTGTTGACCTGATGTGGGCCAGGTTTGGCAATATTGGCACTGTTTTTAGGATGACATGCCACAATTGGTCAGGTTTTGATTTGGTTTATGTGGCCAAAATCTGTCAATGCTACAATTGGTCCAAATCTATTTTGGTTTATGTGACCCAAATTTGTCAATGTCACATCTGGTCCAGTTCCTATTTGGTGTATGTGGCCCAAGTCTGTCAATGCCACAAATGGGCCAGCTGTGCTTTGGTYTATGTGGCCRAAATCTGTCAATGCCACAAATGGGCCAGCTGTGGTTTACTTTATGTGGCCCAAATTTGTCAATGTCACATCTGGTCCAGTTCTTATTTGGTGGACGTGGCCCATATCTGTCAATGCCACAAAAAGGGCCAGCTGTGGTTTGGTTTATGTGGCCCAAATCTGTCAATGCCACAAATGGGCCAGCTGTGGTTTGGTTTATGTGGCCCAAATTTGTCAATGTCACAGCTGGTCCAGTTCTTATATGGTGTATGTGGCCCAAATCTGTCAGTGCCACATCTGGTCCAGTTCGTATTTGGTGTATGTGGCCCAAATCTGTCAATGCCACAAATGGGCCAGCTGTGGTTTGGTTTATGTGGCCCAAATTTGTTAATGTCACATCTGGTCCAGTTCTTATTTGGTGTATGTGGCCCAAATCTGTCAATGCCACAAAGGGGCCAGCTGTGCTTTGGTTTATGTGGCCCAAATTTGTTAATGTCACATCTGGTCCAGTTCTTATTTGGTGTATGTGGCCCAAATCTGTCAATGCCACAAAGGGGCCAGCTGTGGTTTGGTTTATGTGGCCCAAATCTGTTAATGTCACAAATGGTCCGGATGCAGTTTGGTTTATGTAGCTCAAATCTGTCAGTACAACGAATGGGCCAGCTGTGGTTTGGTTTATGTGCCCCAAATCTGTCAATGCTACAACTGGTCCAATTCTGGTTTAGTGTATGTGGCCCAAATCTGTTAATGTCACAACTGTCCCTGATGTGGTTTGGTGTATGTGGTGCTGGTCCATGCATGGACCATCTCTGGCAAACATCTGGCCCACAAAAAGGCTGTCGTAAGTGCATTGTATGGGCAAGAACTGGGCCAGACACATTTTACTATAATGTGTATATGTTGGTTGGTTTTTACTTTCAGTTGTTTGACTTCAGTTGGTTCTCCTTCACCTTATGGATCAAGTACAATATCTAGTAGTTTTCCAAGTTTGCATGCTGGGAAGTAAAATCCTGTCTGAAAATGTCATGACTACAGTACTACAGTAGCAGTATTTTTTATTACTGATCTGTCTATTGTCAGTTAGTAAGAACTGGGACTTCCCCTCAAAAATAGACTGGATACTGCACAGTCAAATCCGCTTTGAGAAATTTACGTGCAGGAGGTTATAAATAGAAACATGCCTCGTTCATTTTAGATCCAGAAGAAATTTGAGGAGGTCATTTATGGGTTGTAGCATTTCTGCTGCAACCTAAAAGGGCCACAATTAGAAACTTCACAAGCCAGAATTTTGAAAATTCCAAGTTTTATTTGGCTGCATGACTTTTTGTAAAGAAGTAAAACAAAATCAGGCAAAATCTTTTAAACAGAAGCTGCTTAATAGAACTTTTCATTTATCAATTTATTTTTTTATATATCAAAGTAAAGCTTGGAGTGAATCGAGTTTAGACAGACCCTGAGAAGGGGCAACACTGAGCATGAGTTGCCCAATCAGTTCTAATTTTTCTTGTTGTGATAACCTGAGAGGTGCTGGAGGATTTCATCATTTGATAAGGGCGTTTGAAATAACACACCCTTCATTTCTAAATCATCTAACTCTTATACAAACAATGATGTAATCATGTACAAATTGAAATGGAATTTTCTCATCACTACTTCTATTAACAAGGCATGACTGAATCTAAATTTCTGTTTGTTTCTTTCTAATTCTGCTGCAAATTAAAATTAGATCAATTATTTCTCAAAGTAAAATAAAGTGGGTGTAAATAAAGACAGTAAGCTCTCCATAGAAGATATTTGGAGTTTGTGTTTTGTCAAAAATTTGATTTTTTTTTGCACTCCTTTAAAGCAATCATAAACTAAACCCTTCCCTGCCCCTACTCCTTTCTCTATTTCTTGTTAAATAAATAGTCACAGTGCAAAATAAAATGACAAATAACAAGAAGTGAGGAGCGGTGATAAATAAATTGACTTACAAACAGAATATAAATTAAAATAAAGCCAGGTGTCAGACTATAATGTGTCTTTATCATCCTGCAAAATAACTGTACATGTCTTTGAGATAAATGGAGTCGTGTCCCTGCTCCGTCCCCATTGTGTATTCACTCCCCAGGGCTACCATGCATCCTGAACCTGATCATAAATTCCCCTCAGTGCCAAGGGGTTGACGCTTCAGCTGTCAAGGAGAATCATGGTGTAATCTGGACAGAAACTCAAACTGAAGGATCCGGCTTCGCAGGGAGGAAGGAGGAGTTCGACAGCACTGAGGAGAGTGTAAATCAGTCTGGAGTCAAACAGGGCCTGCAGTTGGCAGCTCTACAATCTCTATATCAGGTAAAAGACAACATAAAGCTCACATAGGAGCTATAGTCAAAAATGTTTTCTGGATATATAGTACATTTAGGGAGTTCACTTTACAGCACGTGTCAAACTCAAATCTGGCTCACCACTGCATTTCATATGGCCCACAAGAGCTACAAAGATGCATTGATGCCTAAATATGCTGCTTTAAAGCCAGGATTGAGCATAAACTACATCTCCCAGAATTCACATGAATTATTTTTCCCACATCCCAACACTAGGTGAAGGTACACACGGTTCAAAAGAAGCCAGTAGTTGTTAGCTGTTAGCCTAGCGAACTACGGCCCAATCCCAATACTCGCACTTCCACGCTTGTGCACTTCAAATGCGCGTTGTCGCTGAAGGGTTCAAGTGAGTAGTGTGTCCCGGTTAGTCCCAGCTGTCCGAAGTGATCTTTGGCCCCTCCCCCTTTGCGCCCTTCATCCACACTTCACTGAAGTCCACTTCGATGCGGACTTCAGTGAAGCTTATTACCCATAATTCATTTCTGTATGGGATGTTTTCATATAAAAAAAATTCTTGAATAAATCTTTACAAATACAAGTCTTTATACAAAGAAATAACACGAGAACAAATAACAAGGAATAAAACTGAATAATTAAAGTTTGCCAGGGGGATGGTTTCTACAATAAATACATTTAATACAAAAAATATATAAATTAAATACATTCAATGAGCTACAACATTTGTATGTGTTTACAGCTTTTTTTGTTTGTACTTGTAGATGTAGTAAAACAATATAATTACATTTCTTTAATTAAAAAAGTGAAGATGAAGAAAATTTACATTTGTGAATATGAAATTTGCCAAATATTATAATTAGAATTATTGCTAGTCTTCTGCTTATATTAGAATTCTTTCCATGAAAATCATAAATAATATGTTCATACCTTAATGAATATTTTGTGTCAATATTACAAATTATAAAATTATTACATTCTATCTAAAATGTCTTTGTGATATGACAATTTTAGAATAAATGACTGATTGTTTCTGGATGCTCTTTGTTAAATTTACAGTTGGGGTTTGTTGTTTTAATATAATTCTTCATATCCTGATTAGTGGGATAAATTCTGTGTAACAGTTTCAAAGAAACATCTTTCATTATGTTATTTATCAAAAATATCTGATGAAAATTTGTCCCTGTGAATCAGGGACAAAGTTCTTCCAGTAGAAAACAGCTGAAAGTACAGAAATAGCATGTTTTAAATTAAAAGGCAGACATATGGGAATGTCCACTGAGCACCTTCAGTAACGCACTGAAAGGAGTCTGCTAACCAACAATAAATCCAAAAGAAGAATATCTTATAGAAGGAGTTTTTATTTGGATTTCGTCTCTTAAAAATTATTGCTTGTTGTAGTTGTATCATTTTTTAGCAGTAAATGCCAAAACAGTGGCCGGTCCCACTATTCTGGATGTCACAGTTATGACTCAGAGGTGCAAGTTGATGACGTAATCTGTACTATCCCAAGTCTCCATTTTTTGCACGCTTGTACTCTGCACACTCGAACACTTACATGCACTTCAGCTGAGCGCACACTTCAAGAAGTGCGTAGGGTGTAGAATGAGTATTAGGACTAAGCCTACTTTTGCTGTGGCCCAGTTGTGCTGGGAAGTAGGAATTTCCCACTTATAAGTTGTAAATTTAAATTGGAACGCCTCTTTCAGTGGGAATTCCCTGTCAGAAAGTGGGAGAGTTCAGAATTCAAGA